GTAAGCCTACAAGCAAAAAGTCAGAGATGTCTGGCTACAGGGAACGTAGTTTAAAGAGTGGATGAGGAAGGATCCTACAAACCTTACGCGGGTATTTTGCAGCTATTGTAAGTGCAGCATAACTGCAAAATTTACCGACTTACGTGCACATGCTGCTACAAAAAAGCACAGCATTGCTATGGAGGGATTTGTGCAAAAAAAATAAAATACATTTTGCTTAAACGCCAACACCAAAGGTAGCGCTTTGCATATTTGTTGCTCAGCAGAGTTTTTATCCAACCGATGGTGCCGATGATATTGACGAAATCTTAAACGTACTTTAATTCCTAGTTTCCTCCTGTCTGTTTCTAAACTAGTCTCTCAGTTTTAAGGGGGGAAATACAATTAGAAGGCCTGAAATGAGGGCTATCTTTGGGAGTGGATTGCAAGTAGGGTATTAAATGAATCTTAGCGATTCTTTTTGCATGTTATTAGATAATTATTGAGCAATAAAAATCAGTCAAGTTTTTTGAAAAATATTGTAATTAAGCACATTTATGATCAATAATGTGGAGTCGTGTTTTTAGGGAAGGACTTTGCGCCGTACAGTCTCCAGGTCCAGGATCACGACTTAAACAAAAAAAGCAACTGGGCTTTAAACTTAAAGGTACAGCGCACACCATGAATTAAACCATATTTAAAAAAAATTATTTTTCCATTAAAAAATTTTAGGTTAAAAAAAAAATTTCAAAAATAACGATTTTTTTTTTACTTTGATTGTAAAAAAAACATGTTATAACAAACAAATACGAAAAACCGTTATATTCATGGTGTGGAGAATTTAATTTCAAACATAATGCAAAAAACCGCATTCGATTAAAATAAAATCTATGACCTGTACATTGCACGGCGACTTTGAAAACACGACTTTTCAGGAGAAGCGTTTAAAGTTTACTTTTGTGCATGTCCGCCATATGACACACCCTCACTAAATTGCGTATAACTCTGAAAATAAGTACCGGACGGCTTTATGCTTTTAAAGGCTTACTCCCAGATATATTTGGAGTACATTAAGCCAAAAAAAAATTTTTCGAAAAAAAAAATTTTCTAATTGTATTTCCCCCCTTAAAGCTATCTTGCTGAAACTTTCCCAAAAGTTGTGTAGTTATTGCACGCAGTATATAAGTCGGAACGGGCCGGATCGGCCGACTATATCGGATAGCTCCCATACGAGAGAATGAAATAAAAAATACTCACGCCGTTGTTTTTGTATCAGATCGACTTAACTTTTTCCAGATGGCGTTTTCTAACTGCTATTGAATTTCAAATTAAATTTTATCAAAATCGGATAACTCTATCATATAGCTGCCATAGGAGAGATCGAAAAAAAAAATATATATATAAACAATGGAAAAAAAAAATTTTAACGTCGTAGTTTTTAATCCCAGGAGCATGATTTTTAGAACATCGAGTTTTTTAAATACCCTTGAATCGAGAAAAAATATATAGCTGCCATAAGAATGATCGAAAATCTATATAGAAGTAACGGAAATAAAATGATAACATCGTTGTTTTTCATCACACAATCGTGATTTTTTGAAAAAGAGTTTTTTTAATGGCTCTTGAATTTCAAATTAAATTAAATCAAAGTCCGACTACTACATCATTTAGCTGTCATATGAATAATAGCCGAAAATATGGAAAATTAGTAGAAAAATCGTCATAGCTTCGATGTTGTTTAGCCTTTATGTATTTTTTTTTACTTATTTGATGACTGTAAGAGTATATAAGCATCGGCTTCCTGAAACTAGCTTCTTTTCTTGTTTTCTCTTGTTCTAGTGACTGTCTTTTGTGCTTTGTTCGTCAACGAAAGGGTTGTTGTTCGAATTGCAAGCATTTTAACTGAAAGTTCCTGGTGTGCAATTGTTAAGCTAGATTGTTGATTGTTGTTAGGTTTTTTCTTGGCACAGTGGTCCGTATTAGTTTAAACATTGATACTTATATTGTCTGTTCAAAAAAACCTGGCATCAGGTAATTAAGCCTGAGCAGGCCAAACTCACTTATTGGCTATGTGAAAAGATGGTGCACACCAGGGTACAATTATACAAGGTAGTCTCGTCGGCTGCCTAATCCTTCGACTTTTACTCAGTGCGTTCGTGCTTGTTGAAGGAAGAGCATGTGTGCGGACGATTTTTTTCAGAGTATTAACCCTTGGGCAAAGATGTCGTTCTGCCCTTGGATGCAAACTTTTTTTGTTGTTTTTTACATGTAATTTCAGATTGCTTTAGTATAACAAAAAAGGGGGACTATTAATTAAGGCTAAGAAACATTAATTTAGATATAAAAAAAAATTTACTTTAAGAGTGACATTTTGTTTAATTAAGGGGGCGCTGGCCTCCGGTCCGGAAGGCCCGGGTTCGAGTCGAGCCCCAGGCTCCCCGAGAAAAAGAAACGGTCTCTTTTTCCAAATCTCCACCACTTCTATGCTCTATCGCTCACTTAACATTAGTAACAAATTTCGGCTCCTCGGATCCGCACACCCCCTCGTCCACGTTACTATGGACCAAACAATAGAACTTTCGTCACTCCTAGATGGCGCCAGGTGGCAACCCCACCGTTAGGATAAGTCGCTACTGTGTTATCACCGGTACGATCGAAAATCAATGATAATTGAATCCTCTACAAGAAATTGTAGGGGCTCTAAGCTCCCGGGTAGAGTAAAAGAATGTAAATTTAAGAACCTAAACAAAAAAATAGCCAAAAATAGCTTAATTTATAAAAAACTTCAACTCCTTTTACTAAAAATAAGCAATTTAAGCCCCATGCACCATCTAAGGGTTAAACAACAAGCTCTATTGTCGTTTCACTCGCACTTACTACGCAGACTCCTCTCACTCGCACTTGTTGTGAGTAATAAATACCGGAGTGCTTTTTGCCGACGAGACTACCTTGTATAACTGTACCGTGGTGCACACTAAGTGCGGATAAGTGACAAACTTGGTAAAGGCCTTGGCTGGCAGTTCTGCTATGAAGCATGTCGCGACGTTGCGAAGGAAATGAAGTCGTTCATGCGCCAAGAAGCGCAAAAAGGCTGCCGATGGTAGGCCTGGGGGTAACAACTTGCAGTTTCAATGTGACCAGCAGAACTCGTCTGTGGATGAGCACACTATTCTATCGGCATTTAAAAAAGATTCGGACCCCGATCAGTCCACAACGGCGTGTGTGCGCCCTATGCCGGTAAATATTTCATATTTGTATGAAGAATGTTGTTAACCTGTGATTCATCCTAAGCAATTAAATATACCCGTACAAGAGATTTTTGAGACCGGACTAACGGCCCAAGTTGTCACTGCTGGTACACAGCTTGCGGTACCAAAACCTTTTGTGGTGATTCCACAAATGAAATAAATATTTGTTTCTCGGCTCACAGCATTTGCTCGCTTGGGTTATATAAAAGAAAAAAATGAACGCCGATAAAGTGAAGGTACAAAAAATTAACGCTAGGAACATTTGGTCTTTCAAGATAAGTGTTCATGCCGAACTTTTGAACACCATACTCCGGTGGTTAAGGAGTTCGCAGATTAAATAAAAATGTGGTACTAAAACTCCCCAGCCTGAACCAACAAATTGTGCCGTATTTGTCTTTGGTTCCTCTATCAAAAAACTAATCCTCTTAATTTTCTATCAGAATACAAGATCTTTATGTAGTAAACTAACTAAATTGATAGCATTTCGTTTGCACCCCATGTTGTGGTGTTAAAAAAAAACTTGGTAATGCCGGAGATCTAAAGCTACCAAGTTTTTCCAGATTTTTTTTTTTTGTGCTTGCTCATACAAACTTCTTTTGTCCGATATTACAGACTCGGATATTATTCTATCGATCAATAAAACCTGTAACGAGACCAACAAACATAGTGCACACGAGATTGATTTCACCCTAGATTCTAGGTAATGTACGTTTTGGCGACCGTAACATAAAGCTTAAGTTCAAGTGAAAGTGATTTACTCTATAGATTTGACTGTTTGGGTCAACACAACGTTTGTAGCGAGATATTAGTCGCGAATCTATTCATACACCTAACTAGTCACATTCTTAACCTAATTTGCGCGCACGGCCCGACGGAGGAGAAAGACGATGCTGTTAAGGAAGCATTATACGCGAGACTCGAGGACACATACGACCGCTGCCCAGAATACGACGTGAAGATCATCCCCGGGGACCAATGCAGAGGTTGGGCGTAAACACATCTTTGACACCACCGTCGGTCGATTCACCATCTGTTTAAGGCTGGCGCCGAAGAGATAATGCATGTATCAGCTCTGCCCCATCTACCGGATTGCCATCTCATTCAAGGTCCTATCGAGCGTAATATGTAAACGACTGAAGCCGTATACCAGCACACTGATCGGACCTTATCAGTGTGGACAAGGCGACCCTCTGTCGTGCGACCTATTCAATTTTGTGATCTAAGGGGTTTTACGGTAAGCCGGTATATAATGAACTGGCACTATTTTCTAAAAAAAGTGTTCAGCTCCTTGCATATGCCGATGATATTGACATCATTGGCCGCATCAAGCGTGATGTCAGCTAAAGTGGCTTTGGCGGTAAACGAGGGCAAGACGAAGTATATGCTGTCCACAAGCAGGAGGCGATGCGCCTAGACTCCCATGTGGTACCTTCGAAGTGGTAAAGGAATTCACGTACCTTGGCACTGCCATTAATACCGAAATTTATGTCAGCCTGGAGATTAAGCGAAGAATCACACTTGCGAATAGGTGCTTCCTTCGTCTAAGTAAGAAAATGTTCAATAGAGACTCTACAAGATACTCATCTTTCCGTACTCTTACATGGCGCAGAAGCATGGGTGATGTCGCAGGCGGATCAAGGTCTTTGGTCAAGTTTGGATTAGGGAAGACTCCCGCATTCGGCGCCTCACGATACAACGTTTACGTTGGCTCGGCCACGTCGTAAATATGGATGAAGAATCTCTAGCTCACAAGGTATTTCTAGCGAGGGTCGACTACGGCCGACGACGAAGGAGACGACCAAAGCTCCTATGGAAGGGCCAAGTGGAGGAGAACCTAACTGCACTGAGTATATCCGATTGGAGGAGGCGCGCGAAGAGCAGAGGCGCCTCGGGGGAGACGCTGAGGTCGGCCAAACCCCGAACGGGTTGTACTGCCACCTAATAAAAATAATAATTCGTAAAATTTTTCCCTCTATAACAAACTTATCATCGCTCAGATTATTTAATCGTGGAGCTATGAAATTTGTTTTCATCATTTCAAACGGCAATTGGCATTGTTCCGATAACGTTAACCAAAGCGAAAACTAATATTGGTGCATCTGTTCTCGCTTTTACATATTTCGGCGCTTCGGAGATTATATCCCCTATTGCTACTTCAATCTGTTTCTGGCAACACTTTTTTCCGGAAAGTGGAATCAAAAATACCGACGTTCCGTATCTCACACGAACGGTTACATTCAAAAAAGCTTTCCAAATCACAGCTTGGAAATTATTACCTGGAAGATGTTTACATTATTGTGCTTAACAAAATGATTAGATCTGTAGAGCGTTCAACTACTCTTATACAAGAAAAAGCCGGCTTATCTCAGGCCATAAAGAATCTGATGAAAAAAGTGGAAACCGGTGTCGCAAAGATGGATTCCCGCAAGCAAGTACTGACGCACATTACAAGCAAGCGTCACAAATCTAAACCATCATTAAATGAACAGACCCAGAAAACAAAGATGAAGAGGCCCGCGACCAATTTTTCATCATCAGTTCATAAAAATTCCCTAAATTAAATGGAAAATACAGTGAAAAGTAAACTATCTACGCAGCTGTTTGTCCGACACCGCCCTGAGTGTTGTGTCCTCTTTTTAAGTTTCGGAAGAGAATTATCACAAGGCCATGAGTCGCTTCAAGGTATGACAAGAAAATAATCATTTTCTGGAGAACACAATCTACACAATATGGAACCCGCAGAAGCAAATTCTCTGCGCGGTATCTTGGTCATTGTTTCTGCACTGCGCGGGGTATTGCTATCACTCTGGCCTGAAACTGATATACTAAATTTACTCACAAAGTTAACAAAAAGGTGGATCTAGATAAAAGACACGCCTACCACTTAGTGTAGAGGAGCGTTTAAACCTTACAAAACTATTATTGCCGTGCACCACACTTGCTTGCATCGATTCGCCCAGCCTTCTCAGCAAATCATCACAGCATCGCCGATGGATGACAGTATACAAGTTGACCTCGGCACAGATCGAGCGGTATCCCTACTCTTATTCTAACAGCTAAAGGCTAATAAGGGCTGCACGGACTTGGATGTGATAATACATTACCATTCAATCTTAAAACCGACTGGCATCAACTTGAATTGGATTTTGATAATATCACCAAAATTGAAATACGGAGATTCGTTAACTCAATACCACAGCAGCCAGGCAAATGCACAGGTTTCAGGTGCATCAGAGCGTGCATGTGGCTGTTATATTTATTTGTGCCCGAGAGTCAATGGTAAGATCATATCGCGATTGATAATTTCAAAGTCATGGGTCGCGTCAACCAATGCACTATCGCTACCGAGATTATGTTGGGCAAATCTGTTCTGACGACGTATGGCAAAATAAAACACAAATAACAAAAATAAGCAATTTAACATTCTTTTGGACAGATTCGCAAATTGTGGTCTACTAGGTAGAGCGACATGCATCTCAACTCTAATGCTTTATTGCCAATTGAGTATCCGAAAATCAAGAAATTCCGGGCGGATTCTTGGCGTCATGTATCCGGAAAGAACAATACAACAGACATCGTGTCACGAGGATGCGCAGCTGCTGATTTACCGGACACAATTTTTTTTTTCTGGTTCGGAGCTCCTAACATTGGATTGTGAAGGCTGGCCGCCATTACCTACAGACTGTAAATTTGATGACATTTTGCGTTTCCTTAAAAGCAGTTTCGTTCACATTCAGTAATATTGGATCTGCAAATGACGAACCAATGACAACACACCTGAGAATGATCCAGATTTCGGAAGCGTCATGTTATGCATCGTTTCTCGTGTTTTATCCTATCGACGTGTTCTTCGCTTATTCAATTGAGTTCCAGCCAGCAGGAAGTTTTTCATTCAAGAAGCCAAGACCATCGCTCCCGAAGAACTGCAGCAGTCGTTCACAATCGTAGTTGCTGCATTCAACCGGTCTCCTGCCCAAATGAAGAAGAAGAAAAGAAGTCAAGTAGGACTCTCGCCTTACTTTTCAAAGATTTAAGTCGGTTTCCCCACCATCATCGTCTTCGAGTAGGTGGTCGCAAGGAGGTACATTTCCTTTTCCGATGGATTATAAGCTCATCTGGAAGTTTGTCAATCACCTCCATCGGATCAACATGCACGCCGGAGCCAATAGGCTTATCGGATTGCTTATTGATTGCTATCAATACAAACCTAGACTTGCTAGCTTAGATTCCCTCTGACCGATTGCAGACTGTCAAAACGTTCACAGTAACTGCAGTAGATCTTTGTGGATCGTTTTTAACATCATATCCTATAAACCGCAAGGTGCCATATAAAAATTATGTGGCCATCTATGCTTTTCATCAAAGGCGGTACACATAGAGCTTCTCTCAGACCTCTCATTTAATATTTTTATTCTTTTGTATATATTTCTAAATTGCGACAAATTTCTCTGGAGTCTGCGCTTAATTCAACCGTTTAAAGCAAGAATTATTTAGCCAGCGACGTGGACACGCTCTGGAAATAAGCTGACGGATGAATGGGTGGCAATATTAAACAAAATGCCGCCTCTTGTAGGCTGGTTTTTATAGAGACAGATGTCACAAAAGTAATTTTGTTTGTCTGTGGAAAATGACTTTGACTGTCTTGCCATGTCGCAAAGTTGCATATATGCAATATTGGCAAAAAAAATTTTCATCATCAACCGATTTTCCAATGCGGAGTCTTGCATCCAGGCCTTTTTTTGGTTATAAATGGTTATAAAGAGTATAAATATAATATCTATATACTCTCGCTCGTGATCGATTCGAAAATGGAAAAATACTTTTTTTTTTAGATACTAACAATAAGTTTTAATATTTTAACCCAAGCTTATTTATTTTGTTTTAATAAACAATTTTATGTTACTACCTTAACTTTTAATGCTGGTTAGGGAGATCTTTTCGCCTGAGACGCGTTCGGGTGGTGTTGGAAGTTAAAGACTGTGTAGATCTGTAAATATGAGGCTGCAGCTTAGTCTGATGTGTAGTCTTCGCATTTGTTATTTTATTTTGGACGAGTGGAACATTTAGATCTGTGTGGGTATTACAATTACGGGTGTACCATGGTGCACCAGTGGTGGTTCTTGATGTTTTGGATTGAGCTCTTGGTATAAACTCAATGTTTAAACTGCTGCTGGCGTTTCCCCATAGGCCATATGTCTAGACTGGTTTGAAGACTGTAGTATACAATGGCAGTTCCTAGTCGATTTTAAATGAAGAACGGAAATTTAAAAGCCAGGGGAGAGTATTAGATGTTAACTTCAACTGGTTTTTTTTGGCCTCAATGTGTTTAGGGCAAGTAAGTCGTCTATCTAGGTGGACCCCAAGATATATAACATCTGTAGTTTCATAAAAAGACAATAGAATCAGTTTTTAGAGTAAACGGAACATGTTGCACTTTTTCTCATTTATATATTAGGTTGTTTGGTAATGACATACCGGTTTCTTTATTGATTTTTGACGACGATTTTAACATAGTTAGCATTCTCCGATTTAAGTGCTATATGTACCGTTGTCTTCGATGATTTTCTGCCATTTTGATGGTAACCTACTGGCAAAAAACTCGGCGATTCGATTTTCACAATCCTCCCTTGAACTCAATTTTTGTCCATCAAAAAAATTGTACATGGCCAAAAACAGATGGTAATCGCTTGGGACAATGTCCGGACTATAAGACGGATGCATTAAGGGGACGTTCTCTTTGTTTTGTTCGAAATGAAGGCAAAGTTCGTCAATTTTTTGTGGGATAATGAAAAGGCGTACGAACTTCGGGTTTTGCTTTTTGAATTCGTTTATTATTCAAGATTTTTTAAAAATTTATTTGATGGTGAAATTCAAAATGGCGGCTGCAAAATGGCGGCTTTCGTCTGCCTCCGCGCGGCAAACATCGTCCCAAAATTACGAGCCTGCAGCCTCTTGTAGTCAATAGAAATAGAAAATTGTTACCATTAGGTAAAGTTAATATACTTGTGCGAGGCACTAACCTAGTGACATCAAATTGCGGCCATAAATTGACCGCGTAATGAACGTTCGAATTTTAAAGTTCGATTTTCGTACATTTTTTTTCAGTTAAACCACGTTGAAAAATTATAAATAAATTATTTTTTATTTCCGGAGTAGGTTAGTGCCCAACAAAAAAGCATATTATTATTATTAGGGGGGGGGAAAAGGTTACCTCGACCCAACTGGATTTATTGTACCCCCTATCTGAGCTTAGAGCTCACCCATCAACCCGGCTCCTTCGATAAGGTTAAGGAGCTTTATCGGGTCGATGCCTCCAGAGGTCCCAAGTGTAAGGAACCTGGACCCGAGGGTTCTGCACCTCAGGCTACTTAGTGCTGGGCAATCTGATATTATGTGTAGGGAGGTTTCATCCTCGCTATCACAGAATCTGCATGTTTTCCTGTTTGTAATCCCTATATTAAATAGGTGTCTCCTTAGTTTGCAGTGTCCGGTTAGTAAGCCGGTCACTATCCTAAGTGAGTTCTTCCCTAGTAGTATAAGTTTCTTAAACCTCTTCATGTCATAATTGACGATGAGGGTTTTGGCTTGTCTTTGGCCTGTGGTGTCTGCCCAGCAGGCTTGCCTCATATGTACCTCTTCTGTTCTTAGGTAATCTTTGACTGTGTGTCTGCCTATGCCACAGTAAGGCTCGGGTCCTATAAGGGGTCTTTCCGCCCCTAGTTTTGCTAGCCTGTCGGCTAGTTCATTCCCGGATATATCTTTGTGTCCTGGAATCCATCTTAATGACAGCCTGTTGTTGCTGCCCAGAAGGTTCAGCTTTGTTCTTACTTCTCGTACCAGCTTCGAGGTGATTCTATTGCTGCATAGTGCAGTAATAGCCGCTCGACTGTCCGAGAGGATCGCAATGTCCTTGTTTGTGTACCCACGCTTCATATTGAGCTCTGCACACCGTCCTATGGCGCAAACTTCAGCTTGGAATATGCTGGTGTATTGGCCTAACGATTCATGGTATTTGATTCGTGGTCCTACTACTCCAAGGCCAGTGCCTTGGTGTGTTAAAGACCCGTCCGTATACCATGCTATAGTGTGACTCGCCATGGAGTGTACTTCCTTCATGGTGGTCCATTCTTTCTTGTTGCTCAGATGAGCAGAGAAATTCTTTTCAAAGATGAATTCTACTGTCATTTCGTCCCTGGGGTGTGAGCTCAGGGGAAGTTCGACTAGTAGTTTTGATGCATCCCTAGTACTGAGGATGCGGTCACTGCCATTACTACAAGAAGTGATTCCGCTGTAACTCCACTACGCAGTGTAGCGGAGTGAGTTCCATGAGAACTTCCAGTGCCGCAGTGGGGCAGGTTCTCATTGCTCCTGTCATACATATACATGCCAGTCTTTGCAGCCTCTGGAGCTGTTTCTGTGCGGTAACGAGCCTAGCTCGTTTACCCCAGGCTACTGCCCCATATGTGAGTATTGGCCTCACAATTATGAGGTATAACCATCTGATAATTTGGGGTGAGGTCCCCCAAGATTTCCCTGCAATTTTCCGACAGGTGAAGAGAGCCCTGAGGCACTTATCCACTGTCTTTTGCATATGGGTTGCAAACGTTAGCCTTCTGTCGAAGGTAACTCCGAGGTACTTGACTTCCCGGCTTATTGCTACGGGAGTACCTAGTAGTATGATTTGTCTCATCTTCTTTAGTTTGTACTTCTTTGTAAAAGGAACAATGACTGTTTTTGCGGGGTTGAGGTTAAGCCCAACTTCCCTGCACCAGTCGAGCGTTATCTTGAGTCCGAGTTGGACAATATCGCAAAGCGTTTCTTCAAATTTCCCTTTGGCTACTATTACTATGTCATCGGCATAGCCTTGACATTGTATTCCTCTGTCGGCGAGTTTCTTTAGTAGTTCATCTACTAGTAGGCTCCACAGTAAAGGAGACAAGACTCCACCTTGCGGACATCCTCTGCTTGTGGCAACGATCATTGTGCTGTTGCCAATGGTCGCCATTGCCTGCCTAGAGCTTAACAAGGCTCCAATCCACCTTCTTGTTGTAGCATCTATATTCCTTCTGGCGAGGGCCGCTAAGACAGCATCATGCGACGCATTGTCAAAGGCTCCCTCTATATCCAGAAAGGCGCAGATTGCAACTTCTTTGTTGTCCACTACCCCTTCAAGGGTGTGACAAAGTTGGTACAGTGCAGTGTCTGTTGAACGACCTGCTCTGTATGCGTGCTGCGTGGGTTGCAGCGGACAGTCCTTAAGAACTGTGCTCCTAATATGGTAGTCTACCAGCTTTTCCAACGTTTTAAGGCAAAACGAAGTTAAGCTGATAGGTCTGAAGGACTTTGGGTTGGTGATGTCTTTCTTCCCTGCTTTGGGGATGAAGACCACCCTAGCTCTACGCCACGCATTTGGGATGTGTCCAATTGCTAGGCTACTTAGCATCAGTCTCCTTAAGCGGGTTAGGAGTAAATCCAGTCCCTGCTGCAGGAATGATGGAGAGATACCATCCAGACCAGGTGACTTGAATGGTTGGAAGGTCCCAATTGCCCATTTAAGTCTCTCCGGAGAGACCAGAGACTTGGCAATTGCCCAGTCCTCTGAACTTGGTCTGAGGTGTCTTGGAGTGGACGGTGCCTCCATTGGGTTGGACGTATCTTCCGCCAGGGGTGAGCTCCCGGGGAAGTGTGTTTTAAAGAGTAAAGCTAGTTTATCCCTGTCGTCGGAAGTGTAAGAATTTTCACATTTCCTCAGGGCTAGGTTACTTTCTGGTGCAACTTTGGCCATGGCCTTGTGCAATCTTGCCCCTTCATGGGCAGTGCTGATTGCCTCACAGAAGTCTCTGTAGTTCTTCCGTTTGGCCTTCCTGATCTCTTTGTTGTAGAGCGTCAGGCTTTGTTTATAATGTCTCCAGTTATCCTCGCTTGTTTTTGCTCTGTTGAAGACCCGGCGGGTGGAGATTCTGAGCCGTTCCAGGTTGTCATTCCACCATGGGGCGTCTCTATCTGCTTTCCGTCTGCCAAGAGGGCAACTGTCCTCAAAAGCAGAGGTTATCCACTGCCTGATCCAATTCTAAGGAATGTCTGGGTATACCTGACGGTTCGTTAGAGAGATTAAGCTCAAGAGAGGACTTGAACCAATCCCAGTTTGTTTTCTTGGGATTCCTTTTGGGGGCGTCCCTAGCGGTGTTGAAGTCTACTTCAAATCTAATGATTCGGTGATCCGACATTGATTCCTCTGGCGACACATGCCAGTTCTTGATAAGTGGTCCTAGAGACCTGCTCATCAGAGTTATGTCTAGGACCTCCTCTCTTACTCTAGTAATGAATGTCGGTGTGGACCCGACATTAGCGATTTCTAGGTTACTATTTACAATAAACTCTATTAGCTGCTCACCTCTGTTGTTGACGTCGGTGCTTCCCAATATCACGTGATGTGCATTGGCGTCACATCCTATGATTAGGGGTAACTTCTTCCTTCTGCAGCATTCCACGAGTCCGATGATTTCCGGTGGTGGGCATGCTGCATCCCCAGCGAAATAAGCCGATGCTATGGCGATCGCTGGTAACTTTCCTGTGCCGCTCAGCGTTACTGCGACACAGTCACTGGTTAGGAACTCTGAAAAGATATTATAGTTGATATATTTTCTTATTAATATGCATGCTCTTGGGTGTGCACCCCGTTGGTCGCATATTACCTTTGATTCCTTGGTGTACAGGCCTTTAATGCCCTGATTGCACCAAGGCTCCTGAATGAGAGCTAGCCCGAGATGTTGGGAGGTGAACAACCTGGCCAGGACGGCGGATGCCGCCTTGGCCCGGTGCAAGTTCACCTGGGCTAGCTGCGTGCTGCGATGTGCAGCCATTACTGGAGCGGGTGCTCCATGTTTTGTGAAGGGGGCGGGCATTCCCCTTCACTGCCTTCGGTCAGGGTGACGTCGGCCTCCTTCTCGTCGATATCTTCTAGGAGGGGCTCTTGTGCCACCTCCTGGGAGTGTGAGAGATGTTCGTCCTCACTCTCCACGTCCATATCGGCGATAGCTTCCTCCTTTGCACCCAATGGCTCTTGTGGCTTTCCGAGGGATTCCTCGGCCTCCACTTTGCCGTCTTTGGGGCCGGGGGGCGCTGCTTCTGTTGCCGCCGTCTTCGCCGCCTTCCTGAGACCACTCACCGAGACGGTCCCGAATCTAAAGTTCAGCTGGTGCCCTTTAGAGACGATCTCATCTCGGGTGAGTTGGTCTATCCCAATAACGAGGAGTGCCCCGCCTCCGTCGTTCCTTCGGGAGATCACCTTCCAGGAATCGACCTCCATTCTATTCTGGCGTCCCAGCATCATCAGAAGCTCCTCATCGCTTCTTTCTGCGCTTCTAGGGCAGAAGACTGTGACATTGTATGCCGCAGGAATGTCTTCCCCTACCCTAGTGTCAAGGGGCACGCCCTTCCAAGTCCTTAGCTGAGGCGTCACAGTCCTCAGCCAGTCCGCTGAATCCTGGTCCAAGCAGTCTATCAGGAGGTATCCGACCCTAAAGTGGATACCTCTGAAGGCGACTGCTGAGTCCCATTCAGACGTGACTACATCGTCCATTATGGCCTCCTCCAGCTCGGCAAGCTCTTCGTTGCTCAGGTAGACCTGCGGGTAGTCCTCAGGTAGTACCGCAACTCTGACTCTCTTGGCGGCCTCCGCGTAGGAGGTGCCCGTGAGAGGAGCCGTGGAAGTGGAGGGTGGCTGCTTCTCACCCTTGTCACCCGCCTTCGACACGCTGAGTGTGCCAGCAGATGCCTTAGGGGGGGGTCTCCTCGTCGCCGCCGCCTTCGATGTGGCTGGCTCATCAGGCCTTGGTGGACGGGGGTGGGGTGCCGCTGCCTCTTTGATGCCCTCTGACTTGGCCCTCTTCGGGGTGTCCATCGGAGGGGTGAGGGTGCTATTTGCCCGCTTGCTGGCAGGGGCAACGTTTTGTGCCACTGGTCGTGGCTCCTTCGCCTTCTTCAGAGCTTCAACAGGTGTCATGCCCTGTTGAAGGTACCTGAGGTACCATTTGACCTTGGACCCCGACAGGCCTTTCCTGTAGGGGTCGCCAAGGCCTCCTGGTTGCCCTCTGGCTGGAAGGACATCTGCCTTATTGGCGGGCTTGATCTTCGGTACAGCCGCGGGGGGTGGGCAAGCCGGCCGGGATGGTCCTGCCGGTAGCCCACGTTCCCGAACTGGAACAGTCGATCTTTGTGGGGGTTGTCCCACATTCTGCGTCCGTGACGCACTCCTGATGGAAGCTGCGCTCCTGGGTGGGGCTGGTCCCACCTGGGGTCGCACTCCGTCAAGGAGTCTTTCTTCAAGGAGCCTTGCGGCACTTGAGGCAGGGATATCCTGCGGTAATTTATTGGTATTAATCTTCTTCATGATCTAATCCCACGAGTTGCGGAGAATATATGGTCCGCCCGGGCAGAGATCCGCCATACCCGGGTAAGGCGCAGTTAGGACAGGCGGTCGCCACTTGCCTGAACCCTCCGTGAGAGACTGGGCTATTTGTTAATCCGGGCCCCCAGCCAGGCTGACTATCGGCACGGGTCGGATGACACCTTAGTACGGCCCGGAGTGAGATTGTGTGGGGAGGGGAGTTGATAGGTAGTCGTGAGGGAAGAGGAGTGTGTGAGGCTATACTTTCGAAGACGGCCAAACAAACGTCTCATCAGTACACCGACTCCGGTGTACCCGCTGTTTGTCCGGGGTTGCTTATTAGCTTACGCCTATTCGCAACTAACCTTATAGAAGGCCGTTCGCTATCCGCAACCTGCGACCCGCCTGGCGGCCCCAGCTAAGCCCCCTCTTGAACATTCCACTAGTTCTCGAGGACCAAGAAAAAAAAGCATATACTTTCATAAAAATTTTACATGAAGCAAATCGGTTCACAGGATGAAGCTGTGGACGCGTAATTTTGTTGAAAAACATGGTTTCGAGAAAAACGCGTTTAAAGATAACTTTCTTGGGTATACATGGTATAAATGGGTATGTTTGATACGCTCTAGCTTAAGAAATACGCGTCGTATCGAAATATCCTTTCACACACATATTCTAAGGATATGTGGCTGTCAATTTTTGCAAAAAAAAAAAAAAAAACGATTTTTTGATCCAAAACAAAGAGAACGTCCCCGTAACACTTCCCAACCAAGCTCCCGTAGCTTGTACGCGTCACCAAAGATGTATGTTGTCATAATGGAACGCAACGCCCTTACGATTCACCATGGCTGGCCGCTTCTGTTCAAGTGCAATCTTCAATCGCTCCAGTTGTTCACAGTAGAGGTCAGAATTGATGGTTTGGCCATAGGGCAACACTTTATAATGGATAATTCCTTTGATATCCCACCATGCACTCAGCAACATCTTCTGAGCCGTCAGTCCTGGCTTTGCCACCGTTTGAGACGACTCACCGTGCTTCGACCAGGATCTTTTACGCTTTATGTTGCCATATGCGATCCATTTTTTATCACTTACCGATCCAGATATGATATCCAGAAATCCAGAAATGAGTCGAGTTTATTACGGTGCAACAAAGATTCGCAGATTGATACACGGTCGAAAAGGTTTTTTTGGGATAACTCATGAGGCACCCATACATCGAGCTTTTTTGTTAAATTTTTCGACTTTAAATGCCTATGGACGGTTTCCGTGCTTAGTTGCAGCTCCTCTGCGATGGTTCTAATAGTCACATGACAATTTCGATCCACTATTTCCATGATTTTATCCGTAGCAACGGTCACTGGTTGTCCGGAAGGCTTGGGTGTTTCGGTATCAAAATTGCCACTCCGGAATCGCCTAAACCACTGTTCGGCGGTTTGAATCGAAAGTTTGTTATCTCCTAAGACAGAAATAATCTGTCTGCGAGATTCCGCAGCAGTTTTTCCCTGTGCGAAATAAAATTTCAAAATTACCCGAATTTCTGCGTTTGTCAACTCCATTTCAATCGATTGTAATTTTTTAACGATATAGAGCATTGCCAGATATGATTATATTTGACTTCACAAGCGAAGCGCGGAATTTGAATGTAAAAACCAAAGCTCGCAAATAACAGTCGACCGTTTCTCGTTATCTGTTAATAACAGTCTTCTCCTGACTCTTTACGAAAAGGCTCAGAGAACGACCGATTTATGGGTTCGTAAATGGATTCGGTTGCGCTCAGACCGAAACCGATTTTTTCTATTCGGTTTTGTTCTGGTTGCTCCAGGACCGTTTTGTCGTTTTCAGTGAAGCAAAAGGTCTTTTGCATATGTATTGGTAAACAGTGCACATATAGGCAAGCAAATCGTTAAACATCGGTTTTGCGGACGAAACATATTAATCGTCTTCGTAAATTGAACGTGTGTGCGTAAATGCGAAGACCGTTTGCGTTGAGTTTTTCGGTCAATCGGTCTTTTGCTGACTCTCATTGTGCGAGCGTTTCTTGATCTGCTCCTTACGCACTGCTCATTGAAAGACCGAAATACAAAGAGCTCAACGAAAAGCGCTCAACAGAAAACCCAAATGATGACAGAAAGGGTCTCTTGCTCAGAGCGAGAGCTAGATAGTATGAACTTTTTCGGTTGTGCTCGCACCGAGAGCACTAGATGAAAAACGGTCGACTGTTATTTGCGAGCTCTGGTAAAAACCGGTATGTAATTACCAAACAACCTAATATACCTATCTGCTATCTGCTGCATAAATTATGTACCTACAGATTTGGTCCAAGTATGCTGCCCTGAGGTGCACTGACTTCAATTGGGTAGTAATCGGATGTACAGTCTTTGAATTTTACTGCAAGTATGACTCCTTCTCTTTTCGCGCAGCCACTTCTCGATGTGTGTTGTTACTTGACAGTTGTTGTGGTACTGTTGTTGGGGTTGAGTGTTTCTACTGAGATATCTATACTGTCTTCTCAATTGATAATTGGACAGATATAAATATGAGAACTTACGTATTTCTTGAAGGTAGTCGAACAGGCGAATAAAGACAGGCGAGTGATCATTCATTAGGGGCTGTCCATATATTACGTAATCACGTTTTCTGCGATTTTTGACCCCCTCCCCCCCCTGGTAAAAAAAAAGTAATCATTTAATGAACACCCTCCCCCCTACAATGATTACGTTATCACAAAAAAAAAAAAGATATGCAAATTTGTTCTTTTATTTTATATTTTCAAAAGGAGATTCCAGCAATATTATTTATTACTGGAAGTTGGCTTGTCAAAATCTGTTTATCTCCGCAGGTATTATCTTTGTCTTCGTCGTCTACATAGTCTATACAAATAATAGAATATGTATATCGACTTAATTATAGAGTTGCATTCGGTACTTATTGACGGAGTAAGCGGCGCGAAACCAACTTTTTAATATATACTTTTAACAACAAAATTTTTATAAAATGATTACGTAATCAATATCCAAGACCCCTCCCTCCCCATGTAATCAAACATAATCATTTCCTTGACCCCCTCCCCCCTAAGTGATTACGTAATATATGGACAGCCCCTTATTTGGGCATGGGGAAACCTTCAAAGTCAAATTTCAAGCTTGTGTTGTGGAGTGATTTCTGCGTTGTACAGTTGGCATCCTTTGGGGTTAAGGAGCCGGGATCCCCAGTGGGTGTGTTTGGCGTTGTAGTCACCCGCTGCTCTGAAGTGATTAGGCAATACATTTAGAAAAGATATTAATACTGCTTCAGTTATAATAAAGCGTAAAGTAAGTGTAGAGATTTCTGCCTAATCCATTCCTTTTATTATACCCTTGCAGAGCAAAAGGGTATTATAATTTCAGTCAGAAGTTTGCAACGCAGTGAAGGAGACACCTCAGACCCCCTAAAGTATATATATTCTTGATCAGCATGACGATCTGAATCGAAATCTGTCCGTTTCTGCCCAAACTAGTCTTTCAGTTTTGAAGCTATCTTGCTGAAACTTCTCCAAATGGTGTGTAGTTATTGCACGCAGTATATAAGTCGGAATGGGCCGGATCGGGCGACTATATAGGATAGCTCCCATTCAAGAGATTGAAATAAAAAATTCTAACGCCGCTGTTTTTTATCAAATCGACTTGATTTCTTGCAGATGGCGTTTTCTAACTACTATTGAATTTCAAAATTTTATCGAAATCGGATAACTCTATCATATAGCTGCCATAGGAGAGATCAAAAAATATAATATATACCTATAGTATTAATGGAAATTAATTGTCATTGTTTTTCATGACACGATGATGATTTTTTGAGTATCAAGTTTTTTAACTAGCCTTGACTTATAAAAAAAATTTCATAAAAATCGGACAACTATATCATATGCTGCCATAGGAAAGATCGAAGAATCTATATAGAGTTAACGGAAATAAAATGATAACATCGTTATTTCCCATCAGAAAACCATGATTTTTGGAATATAGTGTTTTCTAACGACTCTTGAATAACAAATAAAATTTCATCAAAATCGGACGGCTATATCATATAGCTGCCATATGAACAATAGTCAAAAATATGGAAAATTAATAGAAAAGTCTTCGTAGTTTCGATGTTGTTTAACCTTAGTGTATTCTGTTCGAAATATTTGATGACTGCAAGGGTATATAAGCTTCGGCTTGCCGAAGCTAGCTTTCTTTCTTGTTGAAGTGAAAACTTCTTTAGCGGCGCTGAGCACTTTTTTGTATGGGTAAAAACTTTCAAACTCGCGTCAGATTCCCGTTATGCTGATCGAAAAAGCGTAAGATCGTGGGAAAGGGAGAGGAACTAGTATCTCCCACTCTTTCTACCGCGCCTGAGTCATGGTACAATTATACAAGGTAGTCTCGTCGGCTCGTCAGTCCCCTATCGACACTACAATTAGAGCGAGAGAAAGAGTGTTTTCCTACGAAAACCCGAGCGTTCGGGTCGATAGGGGAGTAAACCCGAACAATTCTGTAGCCGTCGAGACCACCTTGCAGGGGCGCACAGAGGTAGTCTGGGGCCCGGGCTAAAAATTCAATTTTGGGAGATTGTTAATCCTTACATATCATCATATATATCATATATCATATCGCGCGGGGCCCCCATAAGCCCGGGCCCGGGGCAAATTGTCCCCTTTCCCCCCTCTGTGCGCCCCTGCTACCTTGTATAGTTGTACCATGACCGTGCCTGAGTCATGGTATAATAACTACAAGGTAGTCCCGACGCCGGCGTCAGTCCCCTATTGCGCACTACAACGAGTGAAAGAGTGTTTTTGTGTAAGTAAGAAACAGAACAAGAAAGGAAGCTAGCTTCGGCAAGCCGAAGCTTATATACCCTTGCAGTCATATTTGATGAATGCTCATCAAATGCATAAGGGCTAAACAACATCGAAACTATGACAATTCTATTCATTTTCCATATTTTCGACTATTGTTCATATGGCAGCTATATGATATAGTTGTCGGATTTTGATGAAATTTAATACGTAATTCAAGAGTAGTTAGAAAACTCTAAATTCCAAAAATTATGCTTCTCTGATAAAAAACAACGATGTTATAATTTTATTTCCCGTATTTCGATATAGATTTTTCGATCTTTCCTGTTGATAACGTTGTCGGATTTTAATGAAATTTATATATATATATATATATATATATATATATGCAATTATTGCAGCAAGCACATACAAGGCGTAACATGTAATATTGCAAAAAAATATTGTGAAATGTGAACAATATGGGAGCGAGTCCTGAAGGGCAGCTTTGTGTAAAAACCAAAAATTTTGGAAAAATTAATACTCATTGTCATATAACAGTCCTTTTTAAACCCCGTGCACAGCATAAGGGTAAAACGACATCATCTTCTTCTGTTTCTTTTGCACTTACGAGAAAACACCCTCTCACTCGCACTCATTGTAGTGGCCAATAGGGGAAAAAAAAAGCCGACGAGACTACCTTGTACTTACACTTAAATAGGTTCGAATCAAAACTGTTTGTTTCTTACTTCAGTTATCATAAACCAATTGTATCAGTTGTAAAAAATTTGCGATGATGATTCTGATAATAACGATGGTGTAAAAGTTGTCGAAATTATGGATGGAAGTTGATTTTTCTGAGAGATAAAATTTAATGTAATATATAAATAACGATATAATATTATAAATAACAACATATAAATTGCCATATTTGTGTACGATAGCGCAATAAATATACATTGTATTCTACCTCTCTCATAAATGATAGTACTTTTATACTTATAATTAAACACAACGTTAATATTGAAGTTTTCACTTCTGCCGGCACACACGGAGTGCTACCGGTGTTTTTTTTTTTCATTAATTTAATATAGATTTCTAGATAATTCCTATGGAAACTTTAAAAAAATTCATCCGATTTAAATTAAATATAATTCGAAATCGGCCAAAAATTAAGTCTGTTTGATAAAAACAACAGTTTTATAATTTTTTTTTAAAGTTATTTGTTCTTTATTTTCTTTGGGAGCTTTTCCGACCTCTTATAATACCCTCTACAATTGTATAAAAGTGTCCGCCTTCATACTTAGCACTTAAACCCTTCACAATGCAGGCACCGTAACCAACGGGGGCCCTTTAGACAAAGCAGGCACCTTTGCCAATGCCAGTCACCGCCGCAACGAAGGGCTCCATATCAAACCATCAGGTATCAGCGATATTAAGAAGAAGACAAAAAAAGGAATTAAAAAACTATGCAAAAATAAAGGGGAAAAAATTGTATTTTTAATTTTACGGTCCAATTTTGTGCTAGAAATATGAGTATTAATTGCTTTAGGAGCTGCAATGAGTCAGTAGTAGGCACTATAGAAAACAGTCTATTGCAATCAGAACAAAGTACCCAGAAAGACTCAAGCAAGTTATAATTGGATCTACAATGATTTAAAACTAAAGGAACATAATTTCTAGTTAATCTACTTGGAACCGAGAAATTTAGTCCACCCAACAAGTCAGGACTGTCAATTTAACCACGTATAAAGTTTAAAATAAATACAGTTCCAAGCATCGATCTAAGATTACTAAGAGTGGGCAAGTTAATAAGGAGAAATCTACTGGAATAGGAGTGTAATAATAGGTTTTCATTGCAAATTAGGTAGCCTAGGGAAAAAAGTAAAAAGATTTTTTTGACTGATTTTATACGATCCTAAACAGGTGTCCCATACTCAAGGATTGGCGATATAAATGGTAACGTAAGGATCATCAAATTCCTTCGACCATCGTTTAATAAGTCCAAGCACTTTCCTAACTTTTTTTTAACGTTTTTCGAAATATGAAGAGAGCATTTAAGTTTAGAGTGCAAGAGGACGCCAAGATCGTCAACAAGCGTTATTCTTTCCAAGGTATTTCCACTTAGCGTATAGGTGACAATCGGATTGACTCGACAAAACGATATTAGCTTGCACTTAAAGCTGTTCCAAGGTATTTCCTCTTAGCAAATAGGTGACAATCGGATTGACTCGACAAAATGATATTATTTTGCACTTAAAGCTGTTTAAATTAAGTTTTGAAAATTTCTTAGGTTTGATTAAAGGTTTAAATTTCGGGAATATTCATAATATTACAGACCCAATTTTACATCATTCACGTACGTAAGTACGTGTTACCAAGACTTAATTTATATCGTTGGTCCGACCAATTTTTGAGTATGGGACACCCGTATGGAGTCCCCAATACGGAGTACATGCTGATCGCATATAACACTGTGCGACAAAAAAATGTTTAAGTTGATTTTTTCTTATTTTTCACTTCTACTTATAAAAATAAGAATATAAGTTTGTGGGTTTGTTAATATCAATAGCCAATCAGCTTTTACGCACACTTAAATGTCCCAAAAACGCGCGTTTTTGCATATTTCACAGCCTTATAATCACATATTGGGAAAATATTTTTTCACCGATATAAGCGTTCATGCAAGTTCAATATCTATTAATTAAAATGTATTAAGCAAATATACCGTTAGGCTTTTATAACAATGCTTTCAAATTTTTTTCTCCCAGCTCTATACTATGGGCGAATACGTAAGGAACTTGTTACACGAGGATACCTCTGAAAAAGCAAAACAAAAAATCAGGAAAAAAATTCACTTTTAAAAAAATAATAGTTTATTGAAAGTAAAAAAAAATATTATTTTGTGTTAATTATTTTCATAATAATAATTTCATAAAATTTACCATGAAAAAAGAAATCGTATCACTTAAAAGGTGGCATAAATATTTTTGTGCATAATTTATACACCTTAACCGGAAACAATCAAAAAAGTAACTTAAACAAAGATTTTGTTAAATTTTGTCGCACAGTGTAATAAGTAGGTACAAAAAATAATTAATTTTTGCCCTACGCCGCCTGGAATACAAACCTATTCCTACCCTCCTATTCTCATAGATTGCTCCTTATTATTATTATTAGAATTTTTGAAAAGGACTCTTTGTGTCCGGCCACTATGATAACAAAAAGTCCATCCTAAAAGATCACCTGGAAACCCTATCATGCCAAGTTTGCGTATCAATAGGAACAGACTTGCAGAGTCAAATGCTGTACTGAAGTCTGTGTAAATAACATCATTTTGGGAATGATTGTTAAAGCCATTTATCACTAATGACGTGAGCTCTAAAAAATTCGTTATAGTACCTATACCTGCGCCTAATAAATCCGTGTTGGCATGGAGATAGGGCTGTTCTACAAAGGTGCTGCAAGTGAGGAGTTATTGCTCGTCCTAAACGATTTGGAATTGCTGACGATTTAAACATACCCCTTATTTTGAAGGGGAATAACAAATGACTTTTTCAAAACAAGGGGAAACTGACAAGGTTGTAGGGATAGGGTAAACAGCTTGAGAAGGGGTTTACACAATGCATTAGCGCAGTGTTTAAGAACACCCCCCGGAATTTCGTCAGATTCGACCTTCTTAAAATCATTTTTTATAAAATTTGTTTAGTGGTTTGCTTAGAAATTAACTCCAAAACAAGTATTCAAAGTAGAATTTAAAATGGTTTTGCATAAACGTGATTAGATTAGTATATATTTGTAATTTCATGTGGGCAAATACAAAGAAATTACTGTTGGGGGAGCTACAATTTTATTAATACTTATTTAATTACGACATAACATTTAAAAAAGACTTAAACAATACCTTTTTTTCTCTTTTCGTCTTCCTGCAGATAGTCTGACAAACATTCCAGTAAGTATACCTGTGTCTTCTTACAAAAATAAAATGTTCTTTTTATATTTAAGTAATATGCACAATTCGAGGGGCTCTTATTCTGCACCATTAGATGATGATCCAGACAGAAGAGTTTCAAGATCATGGCGTTTAAATGGTAAGCCTTTCAGAAAATATACAAAACCTATGAAAAAATATTGATACTAATTTACTTGGTCTGGACAATCTTTAGTTTATGTTTATGTTTGTCTTACCAATAGAAATGTATATTTTAAATTGTCAAACGCGCTCGACAATATTCGACCTTTTTCGGAGTAGAAGAATAAACACTACAGATTTTAAAAAGATTTCGTCTGTATTAACTAAGAAAAAAAGAAAAAAACGTGGTGAAAATATCAAATAACTAACATTTTAGGCACACACATTTTCAAGCCTAATTACAATTAAATCTGGAATCAGGCTGAACCGGTATTTTGAGCTTTCAAGCTCCTGTGTCTTTAAGCCCTACCTCCTTTTGTAGAGAAGTTGCATTGATCTTGTCACTTCTTCAGGAATTTCTCCTTTCTATCCTCTAATTTTTTTCAGTCTCTATTGAAAGTTTTCGGATACATATACAGGTTCAAAGTCGCAGCAAGGATCAAGGGCAGCATACAGGAATATAGAGTTCTCTAACGACTTTTGAATTACGAATTAAATTTTATCAAAATCGGATAACCATATCATATAGCCGCCATATGAACATTAGTCGAAAATATGGAAAATTAATAGAAAAATCGTCATAGCTTCTATGTTGTTTACTTTTAACAGCTTTAGAAATACTCCGAGATACGTCTTCTGAAACCGTGTATACGAGACAAGACGCAGCACTTACATATCATCGGCGCTGTTGAAAAATTTGATTTCCTGGTTCTGCTCCTTTTATGGGGAGAGATCCTTTCTTCTGTTGACAGAATGCAGATAATGCTTCAAACCAAAGGAATCAGCATTTATGAAGCGGTAAAGTTACTGGAGTCATTGTCGGATCACATAGAAGAATGGAGAGTTAATCTTTGCGACATAGTGGTATTGAAAGCAAAAAAAATTTGTGAAGAAATGGGCGTAACGATTTCGAAAAGGATAATTCGAAAGCGTAAGATGCCAGGTGAACTTGCTGATGACGCTGCTCTCGATATGTACCAAGAAACAAGACGCTTTTTAGTTGAAATTTTGGACAGCCTTTCGATCGAAGTTTCTACTCGCTTTGTTAGCTTGAGAGTGCTCAATGAACGCTTCGGATTTTTCTTCGACTTCAAGAAATATCTTGATGACGATACAAAAAGTTTGGAAAGGAAAGTATTGGAAGTGAACGAAAAATGTGAATCATTGGCCAAAATTTACTCAAACGATTTGAACGGGAAGGAATTGTTTGACGACATGAAAGATGTTATTTTTCTTCTAAAAAGAGCCGAAAAAAAGGCCGAAACTCTTGATCTCACTCCAAAAAGAGTATTATTATACATTTCGTCGTTGGGCTTAGAGGCATATAAAACACTAGTAACAGCTTTAAAAATTTTGCTGACTCTGTCATTATCCCGCAAAACATCATTTCGTCCGCGTCGTTGGAAAGTCGATCGTGACATATCATGAACTGCGCACTTAAGTTTGTAAAATTTTCGCAATGTTAATCTTTGTCCCATTTCAGAAAATCGGAATGACATCAACGTTCGTACACCTACTCACTTTCTTATTGGGTTCATATTCACTTCAACGGACGAGCCTGGCATAAGCCATCTGAACATTGATCGTGTGAGTCGTTGGCAACGTGTGTGCCAAATGCCGGATAGAAAGCACCATCACCGGAGAAGACGGCGTTGATCGAGTTGCAGTTATTAGAACTTACTCTGGGTTATACAAGCGGGAACAAGAAAGTTATCTGCCCTGCCCCTTGAAACCTTGGAAGCTTGGCTATTCCAACTTCCCCCCATACGTCAGGAGCAGTCATTAAAAGCATTCAAAATAATCATCAACTAATTTCTGTATGCACTTGATCGGCATCACTGGCAACAACACTATACAAACAAAGCTTTTTGCAGAGATTTTATTTTCCCAAGCAGTGCAGTCGCTAGCCCTCGCTTTGCAATAAACGCTTCTTTAAATCGGACCATTTTTACTCTTTTTATACCCTTGCAGAGGGCATTATAATTTCAGTCAGAAGTTTGGAACGTAGTAAAGGAGACACATCAGACCACATAATATATATAAATTCTTGATCAGCATCAGGATGTGAATCGATCTAGACGTGTGCGTACGTGTATTCGTCGGTCCGTCAGTCTATTTCTATGAAAAATAGTTTCTCAGTTTCAAAACGATCTTGCTAAAACTTTAACATAATTTGTGTAGTTATTGCACGCTGTATATAAGTCGTAACGGGCTGGATCGTCGACTATATAGGGTAGCTCCCATACCAGAGATTGAAAAAAATTATCAATCCGTTGTTTTGATCATATCGACTTGATTTCTTCCAGATGGTATTTTTACCTACTATCGAATTTCGAATTTAATTTTATAAAATCGGAATACCATATCATACAGTTGCAATAATAGAGACCAAAAAATCAATATAAAGTTAATAGAAATTACATGATAATTCGTTGTTTTTTATCAAACGACCAAGATTTTTTTAAGTTTCATGCTTTTCAACTATCTTTAAATTTAAATTTAAAATTATAAACTATTATAGAGTGTTCTAAAAACTATTGAATTTTAAATTGAGTTTCATGTAAATCGAAATCATATCATATATCTTATAGCTGTTAGATTGAAAAAACTACATCAAATTATTTTAATAATATTTTAACATCGTTGCTTTTTACCATACATACTGATTTTTAACAGTAATCAAAAAGTCTCGCAGACTAAACAGTTTACATAGGTTTGGGTACCCGGTATTTATACCAATAATACAAATAATTGTTTATCGTTTTATACATATACTAGCAAACCCCGGCGAATTTCGTTTTGCCACCGATGGCAACGTACCGTACCGTACAACGTACGCATTCACTACGACCTATGTTCCAACATCCAATGTCGTCTTCCAAAAATTTTTTTTTTTTTTAATTACGGTATTTAAATATCTCTCAAGACTAACGACAAGTATTCAAATCTTAGCCTAATACATAATTAATTAATTCAAATTAAGTTTTTTTGGTATGCCGGCCCTAGCTATTGTTGCTGGGTGGGGAGACATCTTCGCAGGAGTCGTGTGTGGCTAGTGTTTCACGTTAAAGACCGCGGCAACTACATTGTACAGAAGTACCTTGTACTCCAATTTAAGCGGAGAGCGAGCATTTATTAACCAGTGTAGGCTTCTTGCTTTTAATTTTAGTTCTGTTCTCTTGGCTTCGATGTGCCTTCTTCAGGTAAGCCGTCTATCAAGGTGGACTCCAAGATACGTTACTTCCGTTGTTTGTAGAATATGGATGTTGTTCAGAGATGGTGGGGGGCAAGTTTGTCTATTAAGGGTAAAAGTAACGTGTTTGCACTTTTCCTCGTTAACCTTTATGCGCCATTTCTCCAAAAGCCAGAATTGAGCTGATAGATATTGCGTTGCTCTCATGAGGCACTTAGATCGACTTAGAACGGCAGTATCATGCAAATTTCAAATATCTTTGATAGGCACGGCAGAAGACTGATTGGCCTATATGATGAAGGCTGGGACTTCTCCTTTCCAGCTTTATGGATCATAGTGATGACAGACTTTTTCCATTGTTGTGGATAATAGCCCCATTTCATCATGCTGTTGAATATCGTGCTGAGAAGATTTACTGCACAGCTCGGCAATTCCATAATCATTTTAGGGGAGATTAGATCGTGTCCTGGCGCTTTCTTTTTTTCCTGAGCCTCTATCACTCTTGTCACTTCCCTTGATTCGAATGTGATAGGCAGGGTAGCCTCTGGAGTGATGATTATTGGGAGCACAAAGCTATTTGTTGATAGAAGCGGTTTGAAAACGTTTTTCAGATGCGCAGCAAATACTTTCGCCCTCTCTTCGTTGCTGCGAGCCCACTCTCCTGTTTGTGTGTGTAATGGCGATTCGCTTTCGATTGGTGGACATATACCCGATTTAGCTTTCCACAGTGAATATCGTTTGCTGTTAGGGAAGAGATTCTGCAAATAGAATAATTGAGATCGATTACTTTCATCTTCTAGGGCTGTGCGTAGAAGATAGTTGGCTGTTTTAAGCCGCTCCTTCGAGGCAGACGATCTGTGGGCTTGCCACTCCCTCCGAAGCCTTCCCTTATTGCGTAACAGTTCGTTCATATGCCCAGAAGCTCGACTGTTGTTAAAATTAGAATTAAAATTACAAGCCGATTTAATAGGTGTGGAGTGTTGAGCTGCTAGTGACATAACAGACACTAGTGCTTCAACTGAGCTGTAAATCTCTTCTTTTTGGTACATGTTTGGGAAACCATCAATATGGGTACTTACATACTTTCTGTATTTAAGCCAATCTGTTTTAATGGAATTTTGAAGATGTGTTCGTTTAGAAAGCTGTGGATAGTCGTAGAGAAGAAATAAAATGGGCGAGTGATCCGATGAAAGATCTGATAAGTGTTCCACATGAACATGACCTCTAGGCACTCTTCTTGTGACGGCAAAATCCATCAGGTCAGGCTTCTTGTTAGGATCTGTTGGCCAATATGTAGGCTTACCTGGAGAGATAAGGTCAAGCTTGTTTTTTGGTGTTATTATAGCGTTGTACAGCTGTCTTCCTTTCGGATTGGTGAGTCGAGAGCGCCAATGGGGGTGTTTCGCATTGTAATCACCAGCCGCTATAAAAAGGTCACATAATAGGTCAAAGAACTGTACAAATTCATCTTCGGAAATGGAGAAAGGGGTTGGGTGTTTTTTTTTTTTTTTTTTTTTTTTTTTTTTTTTTTTTTTTTTTTTTTTTTTTTTTTTTAAAATTTTTTTTTTAATTATAAAAAATTAAAATTTTTTTTTTTTTTTTTTTTTTTTTTTTTATGGCCGCCAGGTTCCTTTCCTTTTTTTTTTTTTTAAAAATAAATATATTTTTAAGTTTATTTTTTTTTTTTTTGTTTTGTTTGTTTTTTATATAAATATGGTATTATTTTTATATTTATTTATAAAGTTCAAATTTTTTTTTTTTTTTTT